GAGTTCCTCAGTCTTTGAAACGCATTTTCTCAGACTGTGATTACTTTTATCTTTTTTTTTTCCCCACCTGTAATCCAACAAAACTTAAAAACATTTTTCATTAATTTAGATGCAAACACCATACTTTCACACACAAAGCTGAATTCTGGCGAACCCTCATAGGAAGTAACACATAAATCATGGTAAGAAATTAGCAGTTTGAAGTCTAATAAAAAGAGGCATACTGACTGCATCTGTTGAATTATCAGAAGAGATACTAGTTGTCATAACTTAAAGGATGAAGAGACAGATGAGGGGTTTCTTACATGCAACTCCCTTGGACATTTCCAATGGTCTACAGCTACTGTTTGAAGCTTCTTTAATTAGAAAGTAACTTTTTTGAAAGAAATCATAACTCTTGCATGCAATTACTAGTTTCAGCTTTTTCATCCAATCCAAGTCTATGAAAGGCACAAAAGCACTCAGAAGCACATTTCTTACAATTAATCACCTATAGCTACAAGCTGAATAGCGTCTTTTGACTCACCGCTATAGAAGGCTCCACAATAATATCCATGTACAGTCTCCATGTCAATATGCACACCTATACACATAAATTACATACTGTACATTCAAACATTCTCTCTCTGAAACACACATAGGTGGTTTTGGAAGGCATTTTCTCTAGGATTAAATCTACAAGAGTGACAAAAATTGGAAGGAATACATGAATGGATTGATTAAAAGACTTATTATTGTTCTTAGGTTGTCTCCAGAGCTACAGCCTCCTGCTTTCATCTTTCATGCCTTAACCACAAGATTAATCTTTCTTTCTCAAATCATCAGTATAATTTTTCAAAAACCTTACTATTCACTTAGCTTTAGCAGTAATAGGGATGTACCTGTGTTGATTTGTTTAGCTTGTGCACCCTTCTCCCCTTCCAGCATTCCCACGTGGATTTAACTATGGGATCATACAAATTCTGTGCCAGGCAAGTACAGTCATCTTCCTCCAGTTTTACAGTGTGAAATTGCAAACATGTGGGCTCCTGGATAGCTTTACCTGTATGACCTTTCCTGACAAGATTAAGATATTCACATGCACAGCTGCTTTTAGAGCTGATCCCCTTAGGTATTAAGTACATTAAATATTCAGGTTTTGCTCTCCTGGAGAAGACAGATGACATCACTCTTCATTACATGTACACAAATCTTCCATGGTATATCAGAACAACATCGAGGCAATTAAACTCACTGTAGGAACTTTATGAATTCTTCAGTAAAACCACATATCTATACGGAAAACCAGGTTATGTTTCCACAGTGATTTACAGTATACAGCAGGCAATAACAGAATGCTTGTCTTCTTGAAGATACAGTTATTTTCTTTAAAAAAAAAAAAAAAAAAAAGGTAAAAGGGAACCCTCAGGATAAAAACTGTTTTCTGACACCTAAAAATACTAACAACAAATTACATGAAATTTTTCATCTTCAATGCTTCAGACCGCCTAAATTTCAACTTGGCAACACTCTGGCTCTCAGAAATGTGCTCAGAAAATATTCTCTTGCTTTGAAAGAGCCATTTAGCTCAAGGGACAATCACACACAATGGGATTTCTTCCTGGTTTTTGAAGCAGCAGCTGCCAGATATTGACAAAGACCTTATAGTTGATGTTGCTCTAAAGAAAATACCTGGTGTTGCTCTAAAGAAAATACCCTGTTTAGCAAGAAAAAAAGTGTAGCTGGTCCACATAATCTTTTCTAGCTGTTGGAGATCACCCAACTCAATTTCTGAGAAAAAAAAAAAAAAAGAAAAACCACAGCGTAACACTACAACCTTCTACTTCATTGCACAGGCATAAAACCTTACTAGACAATAAAAGCCATAATTTCAATTAAAGAGTAACTTTAAGTGATTTAACAATATCTATGGGAAGCAGTCAAGAACTCAGTCTTCAGTCACCTTCTAGTAAAGCCCAGGTCTTTCTACTTTGTATTTGTGATACAGAATTTATTTTTAAACTGAAAAAACAATAGATTTGTTGGAGGACAACTCAGAATTCCAGAGTCTGAATTATGTTCTGCTCAGTTAGAGTTAAAACAAGCTATCATTCACAATGCAGGGGGAGAGGGAGGGGAAGGGGAGAAGACTTCTTCTAGGAAAAAAAGGAGGAAAGAAGGAAAGACAGAAAAAGACAGACAGAAAGACCAAAGGGCACACAGAAAGACAAAGAAGAAACAGTATAGTTTCAACATGCTCACCATCTGGAAAGGTTAAGGAGTCAGAAAGCAGCAATCAGTTTCAAAATGGCCATATCGTAAAGCAGCAGCCAGTGCTCTCTGCCAAGTCTGGCGGTTCAGTCCAAGAGAGGCATACCGGAAAGAGGTTGTTAAAGGGCTGCAACGGTGGCTTTTACCTTTTAGTATTAATTTTGCCTTTCTGACTCTTGTCTTCTACAAAAGACATCACAGTGAAATCACCAAATCAAGCATGGAATATATAGGTTTCAGTGTACTCTGCAAAAGAGTAATCACAGAATATATTTCCAGCTTTGCACTGGGGATCAGTTTTTCCCCTTCAAACCCAAAGCAACACAATTTTCAGAAACGTTGACTGTAAGTCATCTGTTGCCTGCCTAGACAGCTGCTCATTTTTACAGATTATGAAAAACATCTGGAGATCCTTTCAGAATGATGCATGCAATGCATAGCTTAGAACAGTACCCAAGGATTTACATGTCTTATAACACAGAAATACACTGCAGTCACTTAAAAATAACACCATTCTTATTTCAAAAAAAGTTACTCATGTCCAGAAGTAACTATTCAGAATCAAACTGCACAAGTCAACACAAGCAGAAAGGCATAATAGATCTATTGTTTTGTCTAGCGACTCTCTATTACCAACCATTTCTATCTGTAGTAGGTCTAATGTATCCTCACACTCTCCCCTTTATTTTCACCAGGTTTAACATCAGAGGTACATCAGTATGCAGGGGAAAAAATAATTCCTAAAAGTCATTTCTTATAGTTAACTCCCAGAGATTCTATTTTTATTATTTCTGTTTATTTTATAATTTTCTTAGTACAGTAAGAGTAGAGGGAGTCATGCATAACCTGGACTTTTAGCAGACTAGAGAGTAGATGAGGACATCTACATTAGTAATCCTCCTCTTTAACCACCTTGAAATTGCTTCTTTCCACTTAGTAGTGGAAAAAATATGGGCATTCCCCTTTAAGAGATTCTGGCTCAGAACCTGTGAAGGAAGTTGTAAGTGACAAGAATTGATCTGAGAAGAAAAACATCCCCCTTAAGAAAGGCAGGTGGTAAAAAGGTACTACATCCACTCCACTCTTCCACCTTTCTTTCTTTCTTCAAACTCAATTTCTTCCTGGGCCAGTTGCTGTCACTTCAGTTTCATTGTACTTTTGTAGTGTCATAGCAATAACTTTGCATCACAAAACATTTATGTGCCAGGGTACCACAAAGCCATAAAAAGTCAATTGTGGTGCTTAACTAGACCCATTTTAGTCACTGCCACATGCATAGCATGTCAAGCAAACTGAAAGAAACGTTTCATTTTTTTTATGTCACTCAAAGACACAGCTATTTTCCTTTTTTATTTTCTTTGCAAAATTCTTTCTTTTTTTGAAGAATGACTCACTCCTAATGGATTAGTTCTTTTCCTTTATGTAAATCAAGGTGTTTATGTTATTTTATGAAACAGCCCTTCAGTATATTTCATGTTTGGTTTCCATATAGTTATTAATAAGCCTGCAAAAGCTCACCTGTGTCCTCCAATTTTTTTTTTTCCCCCTATGAAAATCAGTATCTGGTGATTTGAGGTCTGAAATTTGTCATGAAGTACCTGACATTTGGTAGAAAATGAAAAGCAATAAGGATTTAGGTGACTGCTGCTTCAAGTGCTAAGGGAGTTGCTCAGTCCAGCAGTTCTTGTGACCCAAGGGGTTTCCTTGTTCCCAGTCTGGTAAAGACTAATGTGGTGCACTTGTAGGCCCTGGAGATGCCCTACATACACTTACTATAGGATGCAGTTGCTGCAGTTCCCATTCACAGGTCAGTCATGAGTCTGAGTGCATTTCCTAGACGTATATGTACAAGCCCATACAACCACACACTGCGCAGTCCAACACAGGTGGAGCAGAGCCTTTACCAGCATCTCCCTAAACACCAAAAGCACCAACATAAACAAGAATATGGATAGCCCATATGCTGACTTCATCCCTTTCAGCATATGCAGACTAGAGTAAGACTCACTGAAAATGGATAAGAAGAGGATTTAGTAAGTGTAGGGCACATGTACCTTAAGAAAAAGCAGCTTATCACCATTGTCATTCAAGCGTGTATATGACCCCACATAACTTTTCAGGAAAGGAAAATTGACTCATTCCTTGCTTCAACACAAAATAAATGAAGGAGTATTTAGATTGTACCCTCATGCACGTCAAAAATTGGCATTTATTTTCACAGAAAAACAAGGTAGTTTTTAAGCCAGTGTTTGAAGGAGAAAAGGGAAAGCATTAAACTTTATCCAAAGAGCTTCTTTTAGAAATACCAAAGTGTTAAATACAAGTTTGAAGGTGGAAGAATCTGTTCTTTACTTACGCTTCAAAATTCTAGTACAATTAAGATTTATTCCAAAAGTTCAGGTTAGTGACCCCACAATGTGCTCCCCTGAGCAAGACACACCTCTACCTACAGCTTCCCCCACACCCACATACAGTGGTTTCCTGCTTGCCCCTGAAAACATGACCCTCCCCTCCCTGCTGTGGCTTCTAGGAATGACTTTTCTCAGATACAGAAAGCTTATCAAACAAGAACCAGGGGAAAAAATATGGACTATTGCAACATTAAAAAAAAAAAGATCAGCAGTGATCAACTAGTTTGATTTACATGCAAGTATATCTTTAAGAAAAGTTTTCTTCCAGTGAAATTGCAGACTGTTACAAAACCAAGGAAACATGCAGCAGGTTCAGCAATGCTGCCAATGTCTGCAGGCCTATGAGAAGGTAGATGAGTCCAGAAATCGGAGGTCGTGGGGAGGCTGATACCTCATGAGTATGCCATTGCTGACACCAGCCAACAGCTCTAAGATGCTTAGCACAGTACAGCACCAAAACAGGTAGGTCATGACAAAATGCAACCAGTCTTCCAGCTTCTTTAGACAGCCTTCCTGAAAAAGCTGCTCCAGATGTCTTAAGTCACTCCTGCAGCCAGAATACTTCTTACAGCAGCTTTCAACTGGGAGTTGCCAAGAAGCAGCTGTTGCCTTTAGCCAATCCGTGTAGTTTTGGGCCCCACAACACTGCCGCTTCCTCTGTACCGCATCCACAGCCCTGCTGCCAGGACCCTCAGAGTGTGTCCCATTGTACTGATAGACAAGGTAATCCAGAGTCCTTTTCGGCTCAGAAGTCATCCGAACAGTGTAGAACAGTGCCAGAACTGCTGAAGACATTTCTAGGCAAAGAAGGACCAGCAGCAAGTACATGAGAACCCCTTGCTTATAGCGGGAGCTCTTAGCAGAAATAGAGATAGCCAAAACTCCTGTAGGTAGCAAAATAAGTGCAGCTGCAACAGCCAGCCAGCCAGGGAGAGACAAGAAAGACTCCTGAAATAAATATCTGTAGTTCTCATACATCACAATCACAAGTACTCCACCAAAGGCCAAAGCTGCCGCAGTCCCCCAGAAGATGAAGCCTAGGAACCACAGCAGAGATCGAGCAAAGGGCTTGAGCCAGGATTCTTCATAAAGCCAAAAAGATGACAAGGACACCATCATCATCACTCTAACTCTCCTCATTCTGGTCATTCCTAGCAGACCAAACTTGCACCACCACCATTTAAGAGCCTCCATCCCACTTATCCAGGTGCAGCAGATGACATCTCCACCCAAAGCCAACTTGTAAGGGAGCACCACTGATGAGACTCCCTTGGTACAAAGCCTGGGCCCTGCATCAGCTAACCCCATGCTCCTCCTTGTTCATTGTCACCTGCAGAAACCAGGGTGCTGCATGCTAAGTTTGTCGTCAGAGTTAATTTACTGTTCTGTCGTTGGAGACATTTGCTTTTGAAGGAGGAGGACAGTTGGAAAAAGGCTGCACCTTTTGCTTTACTACATTAATCTGTTAAATAGCTAAATGTAGAGAAATAGTCAAGGTGGTAGCCAGCAGTGCTCATTCAGATCACTTAAATTGTCCAAGTGAAAGAGGTAACCCAACTATCAACCCTACAGCAGTAGCCAAGATGGCAACAAATGCACAAGTCAGAGTCATTAACAAAGGAACAGTTTAGGCAGAGCTGTTCAATCAGGGATCTCTGTGGGTAACACTCACCTAGACTCATTATCCTTCCCAGTACATTTACCACTCATTAGATTTTATGAGGGCCATAATGGTATTAATAATATTTTGCCCTTTTTTACTCAGCAAGATTTCTCTGTAGATAGCTTCAATTACTCAAGACACCTGGATGAGCAATCACAACCATTTCACACTGGTACCCCTCAGTTTGCATCACCAGTGATTTGACTGAGTGCTGTAATGACTGCATACAAACAACAGTAAGAACAGTATTAATTTTTCCTTGTGTGTAAAGAAACTGAATTACACACCCGCTAAATGACTTCACAACAATCCCAAAGGGAATTAACATTACTTATCAGCCAGCAGAAGAGCATTATTACTTAAACATGTGGTACCAAAGAGCCAAGCCGGATGGGAAACCTGCATAAAACTTGCCACAGGTGCCAGGAAGGCAGATCCCAACACCAACAGTGATTCCCTAATCATCCTGATGAAGTCCCGTAACATCTCTTCTGTTTCTCATGATGCAGAGCAGGGCTAACACAACAGATATGCAACAGGCATAGAGAGAAAGTATCCTCATTTTCAGAAACATGAGCACCTGCACATCCTGCAGAAAATCAGCATCAGTGCTCAGATCCCTGGAACGCTGGAAAAAACTCAGCAAAGCCAATGATCCTATATCTGTCAGACATTTTACGAGGACCTATTGCTGTTATATATGCTATGCACACACAGATGTTGGGCTCATCCCCATCAAAATATCTTTCTATGTGCTGTACAAACATGTCATTAAAGCTAATTATTTTGGAATGAGATAAATTGCTTTTATTATTTTTAATCTTGCCATTAGCGGTAATTAACATGCAGTGATTAACTTGTTAAATCTTAACCGAATGCTTCTTTCAAAGCTGTTCTAGGATGTGTGTTTTCCCTGCAACCCTTCTCTGAAGTCTGTGTCTGCCCTCTCTCCTGTTCAGCTTGCTGCCACCCCCAGCCCTCCAGCTGCGTTGTTTTTGCTGCCATTCACATATTCTCTTGAATGCCTTTTTCTCTGATGTCTATGTTCTGCATCACAGAGAGGGAAAAGGGGGGAAACAGAAAGGATTTCCTCTCACATCTGTAAACACAGGCAAATTACACTGATTTGATGATTCCACAATGCAGAAGAAACATAACAGAAAAGTGTGAGGAAATACATCACAAACGTATCAGAAAATACTGTACAACTGCTTATTGGTAGTTTGCAAGCTTTGTGGAAAAAGGCACATGAACTTGCCTCATTCCTTCCTGCCATCCCCCATGCTTATAAAGCCTAATGAGATATTAAGAGCTGAGTTACAACGGTACTTACATTTAGCTTATTCTGCAGCCTCTGAAATATATTAGAAAGGCTCACACTGCCTACAGGAAAATTTTACCGCACCTCTTGTTCATTTCAGCCAGGGTAACGGCCATCTCCTCCCTGAATAGAGAGGCGAGAACTTCAATGGTTATTGAAGCCTAGAGGCTCTTATCTTTCTAAATATTTCCCAAATATGATAATTTCCCATTTACTTAAATCTGACTCTTCGGACCACAGTGAGGGTTTTTTTAGTTCTTTCACGTGGCTGTGGGACAGGAGGGGAGGGGTGAAGCTGCTTTTGTAAGTGGGTGGTTTGTGCTGCCGTAGGCTCTGACCCTTTTGCTGGTGCCTTCCTGCTGGCTCAGCCCCACGCAGAGAGCTGTGAGCCATCCGCACACAGCCTCCTCCTGAGGTCAGGACCTTCCCAGCAGTACCAGTGGATGGGAGAACCCGCGTTCCTGCCATGGGAATCAGAAGCACCGACACTAAACATTTGCTGGGAGCCAGTTGGCAGGTAAGAGCTCTCCGCGGCCAGTGCCACCTGGGGGGACGGAGCATACCCAGCACCATGCAAGAGGAAATTGGTGCAGTGGGGGTTAATATCGGCAGGGCTGTCTAAAACCCCTCACCCACTTTGTGCTAGGCAATGCATACACACTCAGGAAAAGAGAGCTTCTGCTCAAAAGGTTTGCTGTCTGGTAAGACAGGCAAGACAACGAAGGACAAGAAAAACATGGACCTGGTCCCTTACGTACCCAAAAGACCTAACTGGCACACTCAATAGCACTGCGTTTGTGCTAAGTGATTTTACCTGCTTGTGCAGCCACAAGTTTGAAAAAAGCAGCTAGTGGAGGTATCCATCAAGAGACTGTAGTGTGACAAACAGAGTATAAGTAAGGCAGAATAGGAATGTTCCTCTGTTTTCTTTCCAGTGGTAAACAGCATAGCATGATAAATGCCATCCCTGCTTTCTCTGCAGTTGTTTCTGCTTATGAACTGATGAGTATTGAAATTCAAATGTGGGTGTAACAGATAATACATCTTAGATAAACTACTTTCTGGAATGTTGCTGAAAGTATAATCCTTCAAGTTAATAAAATGCCACTGCGTATTTTTTGCGTTCATTGTTCTAGCAAGCCATGACTGACATTGAATGGCTCTGATGTGCCAGGAAGGTCAAAGAGGCTTGTTCCATGTGGGTCCAGGAGTAGGACCGGAGAGTGAAGTCAATGCTGTGGTTGTACAAAGGCAATGTAGGCAGATGACTCATTTTAAATGGCATGGGTACTCATACGGATTGATCAGAGAGTACATCTGAGCTCCTGCTGAGATTGGCAACAACTCAAATCAAGATGGCCATCTAGTCCATTCAGACTTGTGTGAACAAGAAGAAACTAAAAGGTGGCCATGGGATCAGGGCGCAGTTAGACAAGCCCATCTTCTATGTTTAATACAAACCTCCTATAAAATGAGACAAGATCTCAAAGCCAGACCTTCAGCCACTGCATTCATTGTCAGAGTGACACAGGAGAGCCCTAAAGCTGCCTCAGAAGAGAGCTGGCATCTCTCCTGTAACCCATACACACATGAAGCTTATGTAGCCGGACCTTGTAGGTTAAGTTAAAGCACTCTGGAAGAGGTTTGGCTTGAGAGTTTAGAACTTTTTTTAAAAGGTATTCTTAGATTAAAGCACACTCATAGCATAGTATATGACTTTAAAACTTTACAAAAATACAAGGGGTTTTATCAACCTCATCTACTCCAGCTTTTACATTAAACTTCCCCTCAACCCACCCACCCTCCTGACCCCTTCAGTGGGTGGAAGCTGGCATGTGACCCAGCAGGGCTGGCAGATCCAGGAAGAGTGGTACATGGGTATCGTTGGTATCACTCCTCTCTTCACTGATCGTGACTCTGTCTGCTGGCCCTGGCAGTATATCTTTCCCAAGCTGAAGAGACTTCACACGCTGTTTTTCCAGTTTCCAAGAAAAGCCCTGGCTGCAAGTAAAGTGACAGCAAATAAATAGTAATTTGGGGGGAAGGGGGCCGAGACGACAAAAAACAAAAAACTTTGATTCTTCTCAATCAGATCATTCAGGCTACGATGAGTAGTCAAAACACCACACAGCAGAAGGACTGGGTACCAAGTGGAAAGCTATTTTTAAAAAAACTGAAAGCTACTAAGAAGTCTATTGGCTCTTTGGGAATAAAAAACATTATCTTATGCGACACGTCATAGTACAAGAACACTCTGACAAACTAAATGCAAAAAGGATAAAGAAGCCTGGTTGGACCCGGATGCTACAGTCGCTGCCGTGCATAGCCGGTTGCCACAGTAACCAAGGTCAGGTGCTGTTGCCTTGCATGAGACTATTACCTCTCATGGAGAGCTTGAAGCAAGCAGGGGAGATATGATTGCCACCTCCTATTCATGGAGAAAATGTACTCTCCACAAGAACTGATTTACCATTGTGCAGGTGTTTCAACTAAAGCCAGTCAGATGTTTACCCCTAGCTCTGTCAGCCTGACCAAAAGTGGCCTTTTTTTGTTACTGAAGAACCACATCAAAAGCTGTCAGGGCTTTTATTTAGTTTTGCTTTTAACATTCCAGGTTTTCATTGGTATTGAAAATATTGAAAATCAAATGTAAAAAGTTGATGTTTTCATGTATTTCCCTCTTTCTTCCCTTTTATGAAATAAACACAAGAAAAAGACTAAAACTTTTTGTTGCTGTTGTTAAATTTTATTTTTCACCTCCTGTGTTTGTTTGCCAGTCTGGAATTGTTATAAAATATCTTGGGATTGGGATGAATACAGACTATTAAAGAAAGGGGAAAAAAAAGAAAAAAAAAACCCAACAGTTTCTGTATTTCCATTACTTCGGAATTTCAGAAGTCAGACAAGATTTTAAAAAACACAGAATGGCAAAAGAAAAAAGAAATTTAAATGAAAAGGAAACTTCTGGTCTTTTGATAGCCTTCATTTTATTCAGCTGGTAATAAAAACAGGTTGGAGGAAAAAGTACTTTGTAAAAACATCAAAAAATGAAGAAAGGACAGAACACTGTGAAATTTAAGTCACCTTGACATTTAAAGTATTTTGTGACTTTTTTTTCATTGTTTTCAACCATCACTAGCTACAATAGTTTTCATG